AGTCCAAAGAGGACAATATCTGATAGCGGTAGGCTAGGGCCGTTACACTTTGGTAGGTGAGTTTATTTATCTCTAAGTCGACAAACCCGATCTCCTCAAGCCTAGGCTTTTGACCAAGTTTAACTCAAGCTAAAAATCCCCAAAGTCATCTTCAAGTAGATTGGTAATTGCAAAATTTTCCTTCATAAATAGTTCACCAATGCATGAAAGTAATACAAATTCTATAGTAGCATAGGAAATTTTCCCATACACTGCCCTTTTAAGGACCAAAAGAGTGGTTCCACAAACGAGGCTTTAAATTTAAGCTTAACCCAGTTGATGCAGATGTGTTCATCCTAATTATTATAAGCAAACTTCATCTGAATCAACAAAGATACTACTTCCTAGTACTTTATTCTATGATCGAGATCAATAACACAGATCATGCCATATATGGTAATCGTAATGGGAGACAGCTTTTTTCACAGATTAGCATAGGGATGGCCATAAATACCTAAACTCCATTGTTGTAAAATTTTCTGCAAGTGATAGCACCGACAGTGAAGATAACTAGAGTCGACAATGCTCCCTGTCTGGAAAACAAGAATTCAATCCAAGACAAGGGTTTTGTCACCTCAGTTAGCACCTCCTGAAAGCGTTCATTCAAGTCATCGAGGGATCCAGTGTTGTCAATCACAATGTCTGCCTTATCCCTTTTCAGATCCAATGCCATTTGAGCATTTATTCTGTTTCGAGCATCGTCTTCGCTCTGTCCATCTCTTGCAATGAGTCGTTGAAGCTGTGTTTCAGGATCCACCCACACGACAATTGTTGGCTTTGTCCATCTATCCATCTTGGCTTCAAATAACAAAGGGATATCAAGAACTATAACCTTGTAACCTTTCATCCACAGCTTTACAATCTTCCAAAAGATTCCAAAGGATATGTAAGGAGCCAATAATCTACAAGCAGACAGTTGATTCAAATTAGCAATTCAATAATGAATCGTTGAGTATTCTAAAAATTAAACAGTGAAGGTCATAAGCCTAATACTTCCATATACCAAACCTATATTCATCATAGTTCCATGGTGATGAGATTGATTTCAATTCCACAAATGGGCCTTCATGATCAAAGGGTTTGAGAAACAGGGGAAAAAATGGCAATAAAGGCTCAAAATCTAAAGCTTGATTTTCTTACTGATTTAAAAGTTTCCGTTTTCCAGGAACAGAAAATACGATTCGGCCCAGTTTTTGCCTATCAATGTCACCATTGGGTAGCAAAATGTCCTCTCCAAAAGCAGAAACAACCTTTTTCCAGCCACCAGTTCCTTTCTCCACCACATCCTGCAAATGTTCAAATAGTGAAAAGCAGGCTATGATACTCAAAAAATGTGAAGGCATGGAAGATTAGTAATATTCTAGATTCTTGTTTTCTTTTATAGAAGTTTTGAAAAGTAATTAAAATAACATATTAAAAAGATGGTCTCTCATTGATAGATTCATTGGTTCTAAAGAGCGGGGTGTGATGTTCGTCAACTCGAGGGCTAGACAGATTTCAACCTTTTCAGACCATTTTCCTCTACTCCTTGAAGCTGGAATTTTTAACTAGGGGTCCTTCCCCTTTTTGTTTTTACAATAGTTGTTCGAGTATGCCAGATTGCAGAAGCCTCATTGAGCCTACTCTTTTGCAAGATAATTCTTATGGTTGAGCTGCATATGTCATTACTTCAAAACTTAGAAATTTGAAGGGTGCCATAAAAGCTTGGTATACTGATTAAGAACCACAAAGGAAATCTTACCGATCCACCGAACCCCTGTTGAGTCCAAAAGTAAACCTTCTTTAGGTGAATGCAATTAAGACGGTTCGTTCATAATTGAGGTGGGAAAGGGATCAGAGGATTTCTCAAAATTCACAACTTTCTTCGTTCAACAGATTTGATTCAGCTTGTTAAAATTTGTCTTTGTGGTGCTCTCTTTCTAAATCATTTGATAGAATCTCCTTGCAGGATATCTATCAAAATTGGGATGTTTTCCTTGCTTCTCTTTAGTTTTATGTTGTTTTTACTCCTACTTTCGCTTATTTAATGAAAAGTTTAGTATCTTGATTGAAAAAAGAGAATATTCTAATTAGTTCAACTACGGTGGCTTCATTAATTTCAAATTTTAGGCAAGATCTATAATATTGCTGACTTACAGAAGCTATGAGGGTAGAAAGAACAGTCAAATTTAAAATCCCTTTCCTCTTCGTTGTATATTAGACATGAAAAGGAGGGTTGAAACAATTTTAAAGAAAAAAGGGGCAAACATACACGAGCTACAAGGTCAGCATCGACTATAGGTATGCCATGGGCCTTGAAGAGGTTGGACACAGTGCTCTTCCCCGACGAAATCCCACCTGTCAAGCCTACTATTCTCATTCTTCCTTTATCTGCAAATCAAAGATTGTAAAGCTTTATATAAAATTCAACATAATTACTTAAACTGTGTGGAGAGAGCGGGGGGGGGGGAACGCTTGTTCATTGATTCAGCATAGGTAAAAAAAAGCTCTTCCCTTCAAATTCTAGCCTAAAACATTATCCAAAACGAGCGCATTTGAAAGCAAACATGAAAATTAGACTCAACCCTCACTTCTAGACAATGTTCACTCCACAAATGTCAGGTACGATGTTGGTACTCCACACATTCTCTACCAACTAATACTTTGCTAAACCAATAACCAACATGAACTTCAGCCAACACCAACGTTGTTAGTCAAACATCTAAAACAACCCTTCTGTATTTTGTAATTGACAAGGACTTGTCTGATGATCATCCTAGTTTCCATATACCAACGAACTATATTTTATGCTCTCTCCAACAAATTTCAATGGATCTAAACAACCAGCATCCACAGCAACTTCTCTAATTCCACATCAATTGGAGTTATTGTCATTAGAAGGATTCCATTTCATCCACCATAATCCAAGAACATCATTATTTCAATTTAGCAGCCACATAACATCCATCCTATTTATCATGCATAGATGATGATGCAGTTCCTGGTTCTGAAAGTTCCACATTGAAGTTAACTAGCACAGACCTTGTAAGTTTTACACAGTTCCATTCCAACTTCTTCAAATTTGATACAATTTCAGGTTCCAAGCAATTAAACTAGAGAAGCCCAAAAGAAAGCTAACAAGAATCAAATAACAAGGAAACGAATTAGAAAGGAAAATGCACAGAAACGCTTACCTTTTCTCCAGATCTGCCGCAAGCCAAAATTTGGAGAACTGGGTGTTCTTCTTTTTGCGGCTTGTGGGTATGATGAAACGGAGTGAGATTTTTGGTGGGCCGCCGATTGAGATTTATGAGAGTTAATTCTTTGGCGTTTTTTCAGGTGGCTGCCGTTGGCGGTTGAGAGAGAGAGGATTAGAGGGTTTTTGATGTGGATCGTCGTGTCGGTGAAGAAGAAAAGCAATTCAGGCTCCTCTCTGCTGACGGCGCCGGCGGGAAAAATTCTCTCTTCGTTGAAACGGGAGAACTTTGGGTGAACCTTGTCAAGTCTCAATTATGCCAATTTTATCATTTTTAATTTTATTGGTACATTTAGTAAAATGTAAAAAATTTTAGCTTTTTAAATTTTGTTTTAAAAAATATTTTGAAATTGATATAATTGTTAATGTACAAAAATCGAAATATACCTCACACTCTCAAATATTGTTAACTAATATTCAGAACAATATCAATCGACGATATTATTTTACAAGTATGCATATTAAATATTTGAGATAGCTTTTAAAATATATATTATTTCAATTAATTAAAATATAGAACAATAATTATAAAGGTATATAATATACCAATTTTGTTAAGTCTAAATAACATATATGGTTAGGGATCAATCTCCCAAATACAAGAGTCTCATTTTGGAGAGTATTAAAATACCTGCGTTTAATGAATTTTATATCTCTTGGATAAATGAACTAAAAAAGAGTCAGATGGCTTGATCTCTCATCGTATAAATAAATGAACTAAACAAAACGAACACTAGTTTGAGGAAAAGTAAAGTTAGTTTTTACGTTTTTTTTTTTTTTTTTTTTTTTTTTTTTTTTTTTTTTTTTTTTTTTTTTTTTTTTTTTTTTTTTTTTTTTTTTTTTTTTTTTTTTTTTTTTTTTTT